TCAAACAGTTCGCTCAAAACTCAAAGCGTCGCTCCTCTTTACTCCGTAACTCTTCGCTCTAAAATCAAAGCGACACCATAATTCTCTAACATCTAACAACGTCATCACATCATTTCCAACAGTGATATTTCACCTACCTAATAAAGGCCTCTGAAGCTCACTAAACGATGCTTTTTTGGTGAGCAGTCGACCGATTTTTAGTCGACCCTAAATAGTTGACAAAAGATTTCATAGAGCATATTTTCTAGACACTCGTCTAAAAAAGCTCAAACATTGATTAACAGAGCAATCGACCAGATTGGTTCAATACTTGGACAAAAAACTAATGCATCAAAAGTGATAGTTTGAAGTTGAGATGTCTCCTCTCAGGAAAAGACGAGTTCTCTCGAGTCAACGGTTTAAGTTTACAAGTCTATATTGAAGCCAAATCATTTAGCATACACACTAAAATTGTGCAACATAGAAAATAAAGTTCAAAGTAAAAAATATTTCTTTATTGATCTATAAGGGATATTTACAAGATACAGAGTATACATTCATACAATACAAAAACCAAGTGGCAGGAAGGTCCTAGGAGGCTAAGAGAATTTCATTCTAGCTTCTGGAGTCGTAGGTGGGGATCCTCTGGGTGTAGTCGGCAGAGGGATCGAGTAGTCTCCCCCTTCGTCCGAGTCTCCCCCTTCATCACCTAGATCGCATCCTCCCCAAGCGCTTCCACCTCTACCAACTCGTCCAAACAATTAGCCACGATAGGAGGGTAGTGGAAGCGATCGGGTAGGTTCCTCATCTCAGCTGGGAGTTACACCAACAGATAGTCGTACCCGGCCTTGCAAGCTATTACCACTTTGGTCTTTCCGATTAAGCTCTAGAGATATTCATCGATGACCTCCTGGAGATAAGCCTCGGACTTGAGGTGGACGACCTCCCCTTGAAGCTTGGTGAGGTTTGCATGTTTCTCAAACAATTGACATTGTGCATGCATTGCCACCATCTTCTCCATCCCGACCTACGCCCTAGCGCGGTCCCTCTCCTGAAGAGCCTCACCAAGTCTCACGGCCTTCCTTTGGCTCTCCTCTAGCTCTTTCCTAAGCTTCTCAACCTCGGAGGCTTCTTGGGCTAGCCACTCAGTAGCCCGCTTTGAGTCAACCCTTCTGTCAGCCCTTAGGGATTCGACCTCCCATTGGAGTTTAAGATATAAGGTACGGATGTGCTCCATCAAACCGAATATCTCTTGCTCTAGCAGAGAACCTCGGGCTAAATAGCTCTAAAGGCTCAAATGGAGACCGACATTAGGGACCCTCTTTAAGTACTCATCATCTCGAGAAAGGTAAAATTGCTCAACTGCCCTCGACTGGCTCATGCAAGAGCTGAGGATAGTCCCCCTAACATCAAGATGATGAGCAGCTTCAAAATGGTGCTTAGGGTCGGGCTCCCGCACATATCAACGGCCATCCTCTGATGTCCCAATGAGGTATGTCCTCATCTTCTTCCTATCTTCTTCGCCAATTTCATTAACACGATAGGAGAAGGGATACTCTAGTCCTGAGGAAGGCTCAGGTTCCTCCTTGGTCGGCTCCTTTCCATGGCGGGACGTCTCGCTGTGATGAGTTGACGTCTTCGCTTCGCCAACACTAGCTCTAGTCTCGGCTCCCTCTCCTTGAGGAGCCCCGGCTAATTCACCTAGAGAAAACTCATCTAGATGGATGACCTCTGTCTCAATCCTCTCGGCCACTGCCTGTACCTTCTGTTCCTCATATTTCCTAGACGAGACCGCCGACTCCGTCTATGGACAATGGTGGGGGCTTCCTCCTCCTCGCCTACCTCAACCTTCGTTGGAGGAATGTCCCGATGAAGACACTTCGCATACCTAGCAGATGATTCCTCCTAAGGAACAGCCTATGAAACACTAGGCACCAGTGCTGCTTTTGACCTCCCTATGATGAGGGCTGAAGCTCTATCATGATCCTAGCTGGCACGATCGAAACGCCAGCAACTCATAAGACCGACTTGTCGAGAAGGTGGTCGACTCAACAAGAGTCCGTATACAACTTGATCAAGTCAAGTGCCACCCTTTCATTCATACACAGCTCACCTCCCGCAAGCGCCTTCCTCCTTATCTCGGGTTAGTTAGAGCAGCCTAACTCCAGGTCGTCCCTCACAATCCAAACAAACCTCTCCATCCAGTTTTTATGCAAGTAAGGGAGTCTAGTGAGAAGCCTAAGCTTCCCTACCATCTGAAAGTGGAAGTGGGGCTCATTCTGGTTTACCTTCACCACCACCAACCAGCCCAAGACCCGCATGGATGGTATTATCCCTAGCCAGTTACAGATTACGACGAACCCCACCAGGATAGCGATGGCGTTCGGCTTCATCTGCACCGACGATACCCCTATCTCAGTGAATACTTGCTTGAGGAAGGCATATAGAGGAAACTGGAGACCAAATTCCAGATGCCTCAAGTAGAGTGGGCCTCTCTCCAGTCCATGGTCGAATATGGCTTCTAACCTCGTCAGAGCCAGCAGCCCATAGTCCTCAGGGACATCAAACTTGTTACAGATCTCTCTCTTCTAAGCCAGAGTCACCTTGGAGTGAATCACCGCTAATAGAGCTCGACGATCAACAGGATCAGATGTCATTGGTGGTTGCAGAGGTGATCGCCGAAATAGATGATCGGAGAAGAATTTTTGAGTTCTTGATAGAATTTGAAAAGATAGCAGCCGCCACTCTTATGGCTTTATTCCTATATATAGACAGTAGACTTTTCAACTTCCGAAATTCAAACCATTGGATCCAGCTTGTCCAACGGCCAGGGTTAATTCCCAGAAGCCGAAGCGTCCTCTCTAAGATCGAAGAGCAGCTCACTCACCTCGAATAGCCTGCAATCTGCTAAGAAAGCAGAGCTGTAGTAGTAAAGAGGACGTATGATGATGTCAGCCATGTCGCTTCTGAAGTGAGTTTTCAGTTCTCATTCAAAACACCCACGTCCGTCCAAAGCAATTTTATATTGTATTTCACTCGGACTCGACAAAAGCCGACACCAAGTGAAAGGGGCCAACAATTATGGTGTTCCCATTTGCCCGAATGCAACTTAGTACCGAGAAACAGATAAGTATACTTTTGCATACTATGCCTCAATCAACTTTGCGTCCCGAGAATTGTAGATATGACAACTCAGCCAACCTGTCGAGTTAACACCCCCTCATGTTGACTCGAAAGGCAATATTTGTCGCCCCACTTTGTCGAAGTTGACTTACTGAATCCACTCGATCACTTGCCAGACGCTTCACGAGTACAACTCGATGGGCGTTACTTCTCGGTGAAGCTAAAGGGCTGTTTTTGCCTCGAGTCTCTCTCTCTCTCTCTCTGACTATGTGTCCGCATCGCATTTAATACACGCCGGGCGCATCATGCCTCTAGCCTTAATAGTTTTCATGACTCATCGGACCACGTGGGCCACCGTCCTGCCACTGCTCACTTCTCATTTAATGCTGAAGTGATCTATCCCCTAATCACTAGCTGATACCTATAAAGCAGGTGCTGACGCACCTGCCAGCCCACACTTCACCACCGCCTCTCAGTGCTCAGCTGAAGTGATTAATCTACCCTTATACCCTAGGTATAAGTACGGGTAATATTCTGTTATTGCGGGGACCGAGGATCTGATCCCTGATCCAGATTTTTTGGATTCTAATCTAAATTCTCTAAAATTGCAAATCATACTGCACACACATAAGAACTCACACAGTTCTTATTTACCCCCACTCAATTTCATCTGCTAACTTGATCGTCGGAGGTACAACTGGGGAACCAAGCCCTGTCCTCTTACGAATATCTATATGTACAGATTTTTTAGATTCTCAATTCAAGAACCAGACATAAAGTCGGGAAAGAAAGTGGTCTCTCATCACTCCTCAACAAAGTCATCCAAACACGGACACATATTGACTATGTGATCACTAGTACATCAACAATAACTGAACCAAACAATTGCATCTATAGTTGCATGCAAGAGCAGTTGCAACATCTCAAAGGCATGCAAGTGATAGTTTTAGTGCAACTACAGTTGCAATCTACCAAACACTTCCCTAGTATAATTGTTTTTTATTATAGGTAAGTGGATGATAATTGGTTTATAGAACGCTTAGCAACTTTTGAGACATTCTCTTTTTGTGTGTTATTTTATGGTAAACAAGTGATGGAACCATTGTAACGCAAGGAGATCGATCCCTTTAAAATTTTATTAAGAATTATATATTGTTTGTGGATATTTAGAAGAACTTTAAACGGGAAGTATTCAGTTTTTTTTCCCCCTCTTTATTATGCCTACTATCTTATCTATCTTTGTTTTCGTAATCTCTTGAAACTAGGTAGAATTGATCTTGGCCTAGTTTTGAATAATTTTTCCTCGCAAAAAAAAGGCTAGAACTTATCTAATTTCTATTAAGTAGAAAATGAGCCCTTAAATTAGGGCTCTCTTGGACCACTATCCCTTAGTTTGTTTCTATATTGGTCTAAAAACAAAACAGGGCTAAGATTGATCCTAGCTCAGTTTAGAGGTTGTTGTCAAAACACATACGTATAAATGGAATTGAAATATATCAATCTACTAAATGTTGGATCAATATTATGGTTTTTCTTGGTAAGCATGCACATCTTATTATTAAATAACAATAAAGCTCAAACAAGCTGTATACTGACATCTTCTCAAAACATAGATGTTTTTTTGTCAAAAGATTCACAAAGATTCAAGACAATGTTAGAGTCGTTCTCTTTTATTAATCTCTTGAGAAAATAATAAATGATATTACAGTGTCTTTAATTATAATTTTGTCTCTGAGAAGCTGTTCCTAAAGAGACTAGATATCGGCTTCGTTGACCATATGTATGATATAGCACTGTTCTTTGGACAACCACGTGAAATTGAAATGAGCCTCTCCAAAGGTCCTTGAGATGAAGAATGAACTTGTTATGGAGAGTTAACCTTGTTGAGCAAGCGAGAAGAGTGCCAACAATGATCTAATATTAATTGTTATGTGGTTATGTCGAAACAAGATCAAACATCAGGTGTCGAGGGCCAGCGATGAACAAAGTTCACAAGGCGAGCTTCTTCCTTACGTGGTTTGAGCTTCTGGTAGTTGAAGAAAAAATGGAGGATAGTAATGATGCAATCTCTGTGCTCTGAAAAATCTTCTTCTAAAAATTAAATGAAGAGGAGTATTTGTAGCATTTATTTTGATCTGCAAGCTGAGTTTGTCTGCACGCAATTAGGTTCATGTCCATACGATAACCATGCTTGCCAACCTATCGTGTCCATCACTTAGCTGAACTTTAATTAAATGGATTGTGGGCGTGAAATTCTTCTGGTCCTATCCATCATTATGAGCGTCTCCCCTTCAGCCACCTCATGTTAGACGCAATGTGATACTCTCCAACTATAGCCTGATCCATACAAATAGACAAACAGGAAAGCGAGGCCATATCCATGAAAATAAAGAATGGGGAAACACAAAAAAGGGTAAAACATATGTTCTACTCTCCAACTAACAAAAAAAAATGGAATAATCCATAGTTTGTGGTTAAGAAAAAACAACTATGTACAATTGATACTCTTTTCTCAAAAGAGACTACTAATTTAATTATATATATATATATATACACACACACACATATATATATATATATATATATACATATATATACAGT